TTTTTTTTTGAGGTAATCCTTTGTCGGTTAAGAATTGGCCACACACATCTAACACGTGAGTATCTGCTTCGCCGAGAGGATCCACCTGCATGCGAACACTGTTCAGAACCATTAACTGTAGTGCAGATCCTTCTTTAGTGCCCCGCATATCACAGATACCACCTATTCTACTTCGCCCAGTTTTACTCGGCACTGATGCCTTTACATCCTGCTCTTCTGCTTGAAAATTAACCTTTTATAAATCACACGAATGTTTTTAAATCCCTAGAAAGCACTGGACTTTTACGTCGACTTTAAACTTGCTTTGCAATTTTAAAAATTTTCGTCCGCATTATTTATGTATACAGATTCATGTCCATCCTTTTATTCTATCACTTACCACTAGAGCCCTCTTTCCTCTCTAGAAACCATTTATGAAATAGCCAGATTTTGGCGCTCTATAGCCTTAGACGCTTTTGCGCCAATAAAACTCAATCAATCAATCTCTCTAGACGTGTCTCCCAGCGTTCAAAGACAACGAGTGCTTCGTTAGCGCTGGCGATGAATTGTTGTGCGAGTCGGCCATGGGGCGCTGAATCCCTAGTCACCCGCTCAACACCGTATACCCCCTGACTAAGATTTGACAGTCTTCTAAGTCGCGCGGGGCGGCTAGGCTCTAACCACGGTCGGTGAATGCCGAGTGCTCATCTTAGGTGTGACTACCACCTGCTGAATATGCTTATAAACATAATACCCTTGCGCTTAAAACCCGTCTTCTCAGCGGAATAGATGCTTATGTTCAGGAGCATCTGTTCCACTGAGAATACGAGATTTATGTGCGAAGTGTAGTGCGCTACAAACAGTTTTACGTGCTTTAACTTAATGCTTTTCACATAAACACCATCAGCGATACCACTTTCAAATTTTTTTTCATGACCAGATTCTCTATCATTTTTTTTCTCCTCCTTGGCCATATATCCATCGGATCTCCTGAAGACATACTCCATTTGTTGAAGGATATCCTGATCCTTGAGTATATTTAGAGAAAACCTGAAGCGGTTTTGTATTTGAGGAAACGCAATTCCCCGCTAAATCTAGCGCTAAAATTTCCCCGCTAAATCTAGCGCTAAATATAGTGGAAAAATTTCCCCGCTAAATCTAGCGGAAAAATTTCCCCGCTAAATCTAGCGAAAAAATTTCCCCGCTAAATATAGTGGAAAAGTTTCCCCGCTGAATCTAGCGGAAAAATTTCCCCGCTGAATCTAGCGGAAAAATTTCTCCGCTGAATCTAGCGGAAAAATTTCTCCGCTGAATCTAGCGGAAAAATTTCCCCGCTAAATCTAGCGGAAAAATTTCTCTGGGGGCCACGTGACCCCCCCCCCCCCCCCCTCGGTACCCTTCCCTCCTCCTCTTCAAGAGCTGCGCTCTAATTCGGCGTTACAGGGAGTTGTACACGGCTTTCACTTTTTTAATTTGGTGCACGAAGGCCGCAGAAAATCGTTTTCAAAGTACCGCTGAAGGCCCTCCTTCCTGGAGGGTTACGTCAAAAAAAAGAGTTTTCGGAAAGTCCGATCTCGCGCATCTCCAGCGCCTTTCAAAGCTATGCACGCGCACTCTCGCTATTTTTAAAAAGGACAAAAAAGGCGTCACAACTGGTGCCAGCTCGGGGGAATATACCTGGCAAGCTTGCGATTGCACGAGCGACTCTCGAGCCACACGCGTTTGGCGGCCGAAATCTCCTCTTATGGCTTAAGGACTGGTCGGAGGTTTTTTCGTGTCTTCTCGCGTTTAGTTGCATCGTCGGGGAAAACAAACGTGATATTCAGATTCACGGGATAAAACTACGCTGGAATCAACTTCTATCTCATTTTTTTTAAAAACAGTGTTTCAGCTTCTCTAAGTTGTCGAGCTGTATACCGGAGCGAAATTCTAGTGCTTATTTATTTGCTTAAATATTACTTTTTGAATAATAAAAAAAATCGTTTCCTTGCCGTACTTGCGTGGCAAAGGCAGCACGGAATGCGATTTATTAGTGTGGAGAAACTGCATGCACATGTGGAAACTGAACGCCCGCGAAGCGGCGCTGTGTCGCGCTAAGTAAGCGCGTGACCGTTCCGTGTATGTCTTACTTGTGGGTAGAGCCTTGCGTGGATAACAATTAGATCAATCGCATCCGATCCGTACCTGCAGACTTTGTATACGCATCTGAACCGCATCTGCGAAATTTGGAACGGCATGCTACCCTTAATCCGCGCTGAATCCATTTTATATTCCAACATCAAGCATAAAAAACACAAAAAAAACGACTAATATCTGGATGGCTTTTTATAGCCGTCTGCCTATACCTTTGTACAAAGAACTCTTCGTGTCAGAATACGGTGAAAGTCATTTTATCGTATTCTATTTTATCGCGTACTCGTAAAACAAGCCAACCGAAAAATCCGGTATAACTTTTCGCTATCCGAATTATGGAACCGCAAATTTATCTAGGTTCTATCTGGACTCTAACTGGATTTTAGGTTTTCATAAATTATTCCTTTGTCTGCAATCTGGATTTCGGGTTTCCAGAAACAAATTACCGGTTCCATAATCCGGATAGTGAAAAGTTATACCGGATTTTTCGGTAGGAAAGCGACCATCCTTCCATGAGACACTTCGCATTGCTGGAAAGGTGTTCGCAGTTATAAGATCGTCTTGAGAGTCAGTGACATCGACAATCTGACAAGAAGATGCGCTCAAAAGGAAGGGAATACCATACTATTTATTTTCCTTTTTGCTTTGTAAAACCCAGTTCAGGCAGACGTATATTTTTTAACATGAAAAGTATCAAAGGACGGACTAATAACATTGTCATTTTATTTAGGCCAAACAATTAAAAAGTGGGACAGGAAAGGCGCTCGCTCACCGCAGCACAGTACTCGTGTAAACGTGGTACGGCGCGAGTGCACCACTGAAAGAATTTCACAATATTCCATAATGGCATGCACGAACTGTGCTTCAAGAATGAGGTGCGGTAACTCGAACTGGCGCAAGTTCCACCACTCCAGAGGATCGAATTCAGTCTATTCGATCTACTGCGAATAAGCCACTTGCAGAGTCCTACTCTCTTGTGGCTTGTAGGTTTTGGGTTTTCTTTCCTCAAAGAACGTTTTTTGCTCTTTGACTGCCAAACAAGAACACGCTTTCCCGGGACGACTGATGCTCCTGCATTCTCTACTTTTTCTAGGGACAGCATTTTTGGTTTGATAGAACCTTCTAAAGCGATCTTTGGTGGGGATCAAATCTTTCTTGACGTAAAGACCAATTTTCTCACCGATCGGCACCTTTTTTGATCTAAGAAAGTAGTTTTATTCCGCAATAAATACATTCGATGATGGATCTGATAGTATCACTCGCTTATTCATTCTATACACTCTGCGGCCGCACAGGTTTATGAGAAACTTAGGCAAAAATGTAGATCCGGACTCGCGGCTATCCGCATCCGCATCCGCAGCCTCTGGCATCCGATCCGATCCTCAATCCGCCAAGACTGGTTAATTTTAATCCGCATCCGCCAGTTTAGTGTGCGCTTCCGCGGATATGCAGTGCTCTTTTTTTAGGTGCCCTCTTCTGCGGTTAAGGTGTAAATGCGACTTTTTTCACGGGCTCTTGGAGTGCGCGACGCAGTAGACGGAGCCTACGTGTTTATATTAGCTCAGTCACGGAACTGCCCACAGTCGCTGCTGCACGAGCAGTACCCCCCTTCCCCCCCACGGCTCGCATCTCGTCGTTCGACGCGCCATGCACCGTCCTGGGGGGACGGCTGCTGTAGTAACTGCAGTGTGGTAACTGCTGCCATGCATGGTAACTTGGCTAGGCCATCGGGTGCCCTAGCTACGCCGCTGCTGTCGCCCTACCTCAAAAGCAGACCGACGCTGTCTGAACACGAACGTCTAATTTGATGTGGTTTGGACGCATTACCCTTTGTATATATAAATGACGTAGGTATAAAACATTCGTGCCGCCTGCTTCGTTGGTTATAAATCGAGTCGCGGAAGCAAGCCAACCGCTCATGCACGCTCGTGACCAATCATTAACCGCTTTCGACCGGAACGCCCCGGTACCGTTTGGGTGCCGCAGCCGGACGCGTCATGAAATAGTCGGCCAGAATTCTCCGAATGAGGCAAGCAAAACAAAAATAGACTGCTCTTAATTTTTTCAATTTCACAGCAGAAATTATTTACAGCTCCCTGACCTCGTTTGTTGGTTCTCTTTAGTTCCCCTACGCAATATTGTCACGAATGACGAGGTGACGAAGCAAAAAAATAACCGAGGAAACTAAAACGTTTATTGGGGCGAACTTGTGCCGAAAACAAAAAGGAAAGAGAAGATAACAATAGAGCGTGGCGGGCGTCGAAGTCGGCGTAACAGCAGGATCGAACGCTGGGGCGAGACTGACTCCGGCTCGTCACGCGGAGCACCTTTTGTACCCGCGTGTGTTTCTGGAACGTTCGGCCTAGAACGTTGGGCTAGTAGAACATTCGTATCTCGATCAGACGAAAAGGTTGTCGAACTTACGAGAACGCCAAGTAGAAAGATAAGTAAGAAAATAGATTCCGCTCCCTGGAATCGAACCCCGATCCTCCGCGCGATAGCCAAGCACGCTAACCACTCGGCCTCGCACGTACACGCTCGGCGATGCGTGTGGTTAGAAGGATTCAAAACCCAAGTCGTTTCACAACCCGCCCCCCCCCCCCCCCCCCCCCCCCGGCTAGAATTTGGGCGGCAACTTTTTTGGTTGACTGTGTTCGATTCAAAATGTGGGTACAGAGAGCGACATGGTTGCACGAACACGCGATTGCCGCGTTTGCCCGCTTTTTTCTCGCAAATGAGGTGCGCTTGCCACCCGCTTAGGTCGTAAGCTGTGGCGCCTAACGCTAACCTAAAGAAGGAGAACGCGAATAAGCCATGATGTATTTGTGTCAACTGTGCACGGAGTGCACCATGCCCTGAAAATGGTGTCATTGTTTCACTTACCTTAGGGTAAGATAACCGAAGACCTCGTCAAGACAGAGGCACGAAAACAAGGTGAAGATGTCGCTAGAAATCAAGCAAGCCCCTCGGTAAGACGTATTGCCCAATTTTTCTTTAAACATATTATATACACGAGGGCTGTTGTTTGTTTTACGTAACTGGGTAAAAAAAAAAAGCTATAACATTTTTTTTAATATACATAGAATGTAGATACATACTCCAGCTAAACATTTCTAAAACCCAAGACGGAGGCCACAAAGAGGGGGCAAGCACAAGACATCTCAAGAGACGAATTGTGTTTGTCCCCGCTTTGTAGCCTCCATCTTGTGTTTTAGAAATGTTTAACTTTAACCAGCTTGCTTGCCTTATTACGTTATCTTCACATACTCGTGCTACTTTTTCATATAATTACCGCACATATTTAGGTAGTTATTATGACGTGACAGAAGTGTTTGGATGCCCTCTCCAAAGGAAAGGGCATAGTCATTCCATCACAAGTTGAACAAGACCAGCAGTCGTCACAGGCATTCTTCCCAGACCCTCATCCTAAGAACTTCTGCTCACCCTTCCCGAAGCTTTATGCAGTTTCCTCACACGCATTAAACGTCTATGGCGAGTGACGGTCTTGATGACGCTTGACGGAATGACTGAGTACCCAGGTGGTAACCTACTTTGGGGAGGATTTCCAAAAGCTTCTGTTACGTCCTAGTATCTGCCTTAATTTGCAGTAAATATGCGAAGTAGCTACTAGAGTATGTATCTCCATTCTCTGTATATTCAACATTTTCATCACTCCTCTTATTTTTTTTTACCCAGTCAGTCAGAAATTGAGAAAGAAAACATCCCTCGTATAGACCGACACGCGGGCTTGACGTCACGGAGCTGCGGCGGCGTTGCGATCGCGCCGGAGCCGGGGGGTGTAGGCAAAAGCGCGCACGTTTCGCATGGGCGTCATAGCATTTCAGCATGCCGCGAAGCTGTGTTGCCGTTAATTGCGCCAAAATGTACAAGAAAAGCAGCAGAGTGAGTTTCCACAAGTTCCCGGCAGACTCTGGAAGGCATAGAAGGTGGATAATATCCGTGGATCGAAAAGTATGGTCGCCTCGCGCGAACGACCGTTTGTGCGGCAAACACTTTCTTGAAGGCAAGTGCGGCTTCCATTTCAATCTCCGTCCCGAGGCTTGCTTATGTGCAGGGAAACCGTTGTCTGATCGAGACCACCCGGATTTTGTTCCCATGGTGTTTGCGCACAAAGCACCGGCCAAGCGCTCGTCGGAGGCTCGTTACGCCCGTGATATACCCAGCAGAAGGGGAACGGCGACAGAACGGCAGTGTTGTAGGCGTTACCGAAAAAAAGTAACGAAATACATTACTCGTTACTTGCAAATAAAAGGTACGCGTTACTGAGCTACGTTACCTAAAAATAAAAGGAACGCGTTACCGCTACCGATATAAAGTAACGCACGTTACTTCTGATTCTGCGTTACTTTTTTAAATTATGATTTAACACGTTTTACGGTTTTGTCGATACAGGTAATATATCAAGAAACATTGTGTTCCTGCAGAAAATGAACATAATTACTTTATCTCTTTCTACGGTTTCACCTAAATACTTACGAGAAAAAACGCACAGAAAATCGTGGCTTGACGCCTAAAACACGTAAAAAATTGAAGTGTAATTTCTTTAAGATTTAGGAAGTAGTAATGAGTAACGTAACTACGTTACTTTAAATGGTAACACAAGTACGTCACCCCTTACTGTGTCGAAAACGTAACGAGTGGGTTACTACGTTACTGAAAAAAGTAACGCGTTACCAACAACGCCGTTACTTGTAACCTGTTACCGCTAAGACTGCAGAACGGACAAAGCGTTACTGCTTGTCATGCCTTGTGGTCATGAGGGCAGGGAAAATATCATACCTTGACTTGAAGGCGCTGTGTGTATTTAATCAATTAATGAATACACAAACTTCCGCGGACCCACAGGCTGCTGATCCCGCCGGCAGTGCGGAAATCAACTCGAAGTAATCGTAGACCTCGAGAGACGTGTACGCCTGCACCGTGTCGGCCGTGAACTGGCTTGGCGAAAAAACAAAATAAACGACGACGTGAGCCATCGACGTCGGTGGCAGCAACTTTACGTCGGAAGTCCAGCAGGTCTTGTTTATACGGCGTACGGATCCTCGTAGTCAACGCCGTCCACGCACAGTTTGTTTCGATACCGCTGCCGTTCAGGCTCGGGCAAAGAGCTCAAATAGTCGGGCATAGCATACGACATACGTTGTGAGGAAATACGATGCACAAATAAAGATACAAGCGTCCCTACAACGTCAACAACGAGCGCACGCCATAGAGCGCAATGGCGAAAACACTGAGAGCGGGGCTGCTTTTGCCCACATAGCTACCGCGCATGCGCGGCCTTCCGGCCGTGTTGGTAAACAGCCGCTCCGCGTGTCGGTCTTACAATTTGTATAAAAAGAACCATGAAGGCTACACCAGGCATATCTTTCCAAGCGAGTTCTGCTGCCGGGGGGACGTAATATAGGTGGCCAATCGTCACGATAAGTTGAATAATTAACTAAAACGTGCTAATTAACTGTTTAATTAGTGAAAAGATGCATATGGCAATAAAACTAGAAACTTACTGAGCGTCTCCGAAAACCACATATCAGTAAATTAAAAAAATTAAAGCGCGTGGGAAGCGCCGTGATGCGCTAAAGTTAACTACTCGTGCAATTGTTGCAAGGCTGGTGGCGCGAAGGCGCGGATAAGATTATTACCAAGCGGAGGAATAGACCAGTGATTGTGTTTGTCTCTTTAAAAAGAAGAGATTCAGATAGTCACTTTGGGACCGCAGTCACTGATGCCTGTTTGTGTTTTTAGCAATTTAACCGGTATCGTGATTTCAACCTGTTCATTCAATTACTCACTCAGAAGTTGGACGTGAGAAACCAAGAACTCCCCAAGCAAAGCACCCCGACCAAATGTTCCGCTAATCCCTCCGGTCAGGAACTACCGGTAATTCATTTATTTTACAGCATGATCATGATGATGGCATTGTTAGGAAATTAAACTCAACAGCAGTGAAATTTTATTTAGAATATGCTGTGTCAGCCAAGATGCTCAAGCTTACTAAAAAATAATTTGCAGTTACGTAGGTTTTTATATTGTTTCAAATCATTAAGGACTGCTTTGAAAAAACATATCTTAGTGGCAAAGCAAGGACTGTCATCCGCTGACCCTGGTTAGTTTTTTTTATAGATTTACAAAAACAGCCTGGAGGGCCGAAGCATTATGGCAGGTACAGCCTATTACTATTGAATTGATTCATTGATTGAACATGTTTTATTAATAAAAAAAGAAGTAAATCGCGTACGACTCTCTCTAATCAATTGTCCACTGACATCGGAGAGAGAAGGGGGTGGGGGAATGGGGTGTGGATAGGTAGGGGGGTACCAGGAATGTCTCTATTCAAATGGAAGCCTGGATGTTTGCTGTCGCGACAAAGTCAAGAAGCGAGTCCAATATGGCTTTGCGGTGCTGCGGTGCGCCCCTCGGGTGTATCCAGTCCCGAGCTTAGGTCGCAGTTTTCGAATGGCTTCTTCCTGCGTCCGGCTGAGCTCCACACAGTCCCATAAGAGATGGGCACTTGTGGCTTGTTGTCCAGTTGCGCATCGTCTGCAAGATCCGTCGTCAGAGCGTTCCTTTTCTACATCTGTCTTAAGCTCACATCTCTCGAACTTAGCTATTGAAAAAGAACTCCTTTGTGAACCATCAACATGTAACAAATTTGTGAGGGATTTTCATTGAGCACAATCAACTTAAAAACGAGCACGTCAAAGATCCAAAGCAGAATCTGGTAATGCGTGCCAATCGGTGATTGTGAGAGAAAAAAATGAACATGTAGTTGGTTCGACAACCTTTTTTTTTTTTTTTTTCATGCAATGATGTACGCTACTTGACACATAGTTTGATCATTCCAAATATCGATTTTTGTTAATTCTCGTCAGGTGCTAGAAGATAGCATGAGCTTGAAGTGCAGGTTTTGCACCTTGAAATAGGGGTTCCCACTGCATTATCTTTTAATACTTCGTTACACTGGAATTTCTACAATTTCCCGGTTCAAAGCTTGCCGCACGGTTCTGAATTTCTTTCATGTTTCAAATACTTTTGGTGCGGGTTCTACAAAACACGCGCCTAATCAGTGTTACAAGGCAACAATAGGGTGTTTACTTTATTTTCTTTTCGAGGACTACAAGGTTACAAATAAGAGAAGGTAATGTATGCCTAGCTTTTCTAATAACCTGGCTGACATTAACATTAAAACAAAGTGTTAGACAAATGAATCCCCAGATACTTGCATCAGTACTTTGATTTAATTCGTGTTCGTCAGTGAAATAACATCTTGGGATAATATCACGTTGAATTCCAAAAGTAACGTGGGCATAAGCCTAGTTTCCAAACCTTGAACCACTCGGAGATTCTCTATAGATCAGATTGTAAAAGAAGCGGCATCGCTTGTATACCCTGCTGTATAAAACACAATCGCCTACAAAGAGCCTGAAAGACTGGGTAATGTATAATTATGTAATTGAGAAATCCGAACTAAAGGAGGTTCCAACACTGACCCCTGCGACATGCCAGAGGTCACATCGATAAAATCAGATTTTGCGCCATTTATATTGGCACATTGCTTTCTTCAAATTAAATTTTAATCCCACGGTAGACGTTTCGATCAGGGTTGAGGTAGCTTAATTTATGCAATGGCGAAGGGTCAGAAACTTTCTTCGAGGCTTTAAGAAAGAGAACAACAGTCATTTTATTCCTTTTTCGCGGCAGTTGAAACCAGACGATAAAGTTTGACAAGCTGTGTTACGCATGAGACCCGTCCTAAAATCATGCAGAGTAGAAAAACTTGTGTTCGTATCTAAATATCTGGCAACATTGCTATATATGCAAAATGTGCCCTAATATCATACAACATTAATACTTTTTATTTTTCTGAGGACCCATTTAAATTTTACTTTTTTTCTTTCGCTTTTCGCGATATCCGAGCTATATGACGTTTCATGTTGAAAATTGCTCAATCTCTTTATTTCCATATTTCAGAAGGAGAGCGCGGACTCTCGGGCATCACCTAAGCGAAATGCTTCATCCATTCGAACGAACTCAAGTGCTGGAACCCGAGTAACTAGCTCACTTTTTTCTCACTGTAATAATGAAAACGGTTATATATATACCGGGTGTTTCTGCGAAGACTTTCAAAAATCCTAAAAATTAAAGCGTCAAAAAAAAAAAAAAAACTTTCTTCGGGAACAAACTACCAGCCACGGCGGACGTCAGGAATTGCCAAAAACATAGTAATTAGCCAACTAATTAATTACAATTTGTTAATTAACTTTTTAATTAGTGGAAATAGACATGGTTCTAATTAGAAAGTTGCTGAGCGTTATCGAAAACCACTATATATATATATATATATATATATATATATATATGTGACGAAGAGCAAGAGTCGACGACCGTTTTTATGTCCGCACTGTTTAAGCATTCAGCGCGCCTCTGCCCGCGCATCCAGTTCAAGCGCACGCGGGCCTCGTCTTCCTCGGCCAACATGCTGAAAGACGATGAAGGGGACATCGTGAAGTATAGACGTCACAATATATATATATATATATATATATATATATATATATATATATATATATATATTATATAATCTTCTGCAGTTTTGACCAGTTTACCAACCTAAGAACATGCCAATTAGGGACCATGAGTAAAGTGAGTGCATTTCAATCGGACCTAACATTCACTGACGGGAGCTGCAATGTTTTTAATTTCGGTTAATGACCTGGTAAACTTTCCCCTTTTCTTTCACTTCTATTTTTTCTACTCAACTATTAGCGTACATAATTGTTCTCAATCTTGTTCTTCTTAAAGGTTGAAGTCCTGGATGCAAACTCGGAGCGTCTGGTGGAATGTTTCGACTCAAAATGTGGCGGCCAAGGATTTATAGACCAGGCAGAGGTCCTGTTCAAATGTCCAGTCTGCAATCGCTTCAACTGCGTGGAGTGCAAGGCCATCCACGAGTCGCTCACCTGCAACGAATACAAACAGAAGAAAAGAGAGCCCAGTGGTCCTATAATAGAAGCAGCTGCCGCGGCTGTGGTCAGTATATTCACCTTAATTATTGTTTTAGCAGATCACTCCTTTGTTTCAGCATTCGATAATGAAGCTCGATGACGACACACGATAAGATAGCGGGAAGGCTTTAACGCAGTAGAATCGATGCTCACAAAAAACGTTTTACTGTGTCACCTGCTATGTTTTTATATTAACTCCGATAATATTGTTTATGTCGCTTACTAAGGGAATCACAATGAATACAGGTACGTATACCTCTGCCTAAATTTCCCATCGCAAACTATTTACTGGAGGACAACTTTCTGTTGCATTTCGGAAGTAAAGCGTGCGCATGCACAGCATTGATCAGCTATCAAAGTGCACGGGTGCCCTAGTGTTGTCTTCAGTGCATTTGGAAAGCTGCCCCCGAGTACCATATGTTCCTATTTGTAAATGACATCTTTGTATAATCGTCCTATTTATGTATTTGTAGCACGGTCGGCGTGGTAAAATGTGATTGAAAAGTCCGCATTATGTTTATTGCGATAGCAATATATGCGCAAGCGAGAGCAAGCCTCAATATTTTTGTCAACGAATTCAACGAGAAGAATCCCCGTGGCAAATATCCGCAGTTAAGGTCCATACTTAAAAAAAAAAGAATGCATATGAGCCGAAAAAAAAAATGTAAAAAAAAAAAAACAACGAAAATTGCGATTTTTACACTAGAAAATTTTGTATCTGTCTGTGCAAGCGTCGGAAGGCGCGTTTATTGCTGTTTCGTGCTTTTCGCACAATTATTTTCAAGCTGGAAGGGGTTTTCCCGCGCGCGCTATCTGAACTTCGATTTTCGTATTTCAGTGTTCACAAAATGGCATCCCCGCGTGCAATATCAACAGGACGCGCCATACACACAAACGTTTGAAATGGCACCAATCAGCCCTTTATAAGGGCCTCTGGCGGGTGTCATTCTCAACGTTCGTGTAGACTGTTAAAGGGATACTGAACCAAGGAATTTAGTGTCCATAATAAGTGGCGCACGTTCTTTCCACGAGCCAGCAGCCGCCGGTGTGCGCGGGCACACACAACAAAAATGGCGTCAAAGACCTCTGTTCGCGGTTAAGACGACAGTGAAATGTATGGGCTTCGGGCAAAAGGAGAATAAAGACAAGTTTTTCATCTACACAGTGGTGTCTGGTGGAAACGGTAAGCGATTAATTGGTCTAACAAGCACGTAGCTTTCACTTGTAGAGATGAAAAGCCTGTCTTTATTCTCTTTTGGCCCGAAGCCTATGCATTTCACTGTCCTCTTAAGCGCGAATAGAGGTCTTGTCATTTTCGTTGCGTGTGCTCGCGCACACCGGCGGCTGCTGGCTCATGGAAAGAACGTGCACCACTTATTATGGGCACTAAATTCTTTGTTTCAGTGTCCCTTTAAGATAGCGGTTTAGGTGAGTTGGTTTTTCACATCTCCGGTGTTACAGAAAATTGCGTATTGGCTTTGGCACGCTGTAACATCGGAGGTCCATGTGGGATTTATAGCTTTCTGGCCGGTGGTGCCTCGCCACCCTTCACATAGGTGCTATTTACTGGATGCCATATTTGAGGTGACTGCTCGCAACGCATGCGTGGGATGAGTTCTTATAATCTCCCAAAAAAGATAGTCTTGATGGTGTGCATTGTGCGTGTTGGAAGCGTTGTGGAATTTTGCCGTCAGCACGTGCTCAGCAGCGTCAGCGAGCTCGACTATGCCCGCCCGTGAATATGTTCTATCATTGCCTCCTCTATACTCAGAAAGCCTGGCAGTTCGACGACGGAGCCATAGAGTTCCCGGTCGCAGATTCGAAGCGCGTGGATCTGGTAGCAGAGAGCATTTCTCGGGGAACCTAAAGCCCCTTCATGTTTCAAAAGTAGTGCAAGGTGCGTCGATGCACGAGGCACGTGCAACATGCAGCCCTTGGGAAGATCATGGCGGCACAGCGCAGCATGAGCTGATTTCAGACGCCATGTTATTCCCAGAAGTGGCGCGGCACGTGTCTCGAGCATTTCCACGACAATGAATGGCGCCACTTTTCCCAGGATAGACGTTAGGGGAACCTAGAGTGCCCTCATACATGCGCGCTTTTGCTTGGGTGGTGGCATCTCGGCCATTTTTCCGTCCAATCGTTTTTTTTAAATGCATTTTAAAGTGCTCGCAATCTAGAGTCACTCAGCTGAAGCGCGTAGCTTTGGCTAGTGTTCTAGAGGTGGTTGTAGTGGCAAGAGCGGCGGCCGCTTTGTGAAGATTTTGCGCGTAGACGACACCATGGCGCTGCTGTTCTGTGCCCTAGGAGCGCGCCCCCGTCAGCCCCATCATCAGCGGTGTTCGGCGCTTACAACTGTGGTTTGACTGGAGCTTTTCGCGGTGCGAAACAACTGCTAATGTAGTTCTGTATACTCTGTTTCACCTTATGATGTACCGCAGGAAAGGTTACAAGCGCGAGCTCTTTGCTCTGGGGCACATCTCGGCGGCACACGCGCTCGTGAAATAAGAGCAGCTGTCAACGCTATGAGCTCGCGCTTCTAGCCTTCGCTGCGGTACAACATAAGGTGAAACGAAGTATAGTAAATTGTAGTTCTGCCTTTGGACCAATGCCTCTAGAGTGTGTGCTATCCTCTACTTGAAATATTCCCGTGTTTTGAGGGAGATTATTCAATTAATATCAACTTCCCCCCAGTACTGACACATCGTTCAGCAACGCTATCACTTGGGCTGCAGGCTTAATAGCTGCGAAAGAAGTTCTACGGTGATACATTTCGGAGAAGCGTACCGCGTCACCCTCGTCGTCTTCTTCGTTCATCGCACACGTGCCATTAACTCTCCTAGGGAACACAACTCCAGCGCCACTCGCAGTATCTACATCGACCGCCTTCACGCGCTTCATTGCAAGCGGGCGCCGCTCTTGCCACTACTAGAGTGCCTTCATACACACGCGCGCTTTTGCTTGAGTGGTGACATCTCGGCCATTTTTCCGCCCAATCGTTCGTTCTATGCATTTTGAAGTGCGCGCAATCCGGTGTCACTCAGCACGAGCGCGTAGCTTTGGCTAATTCATAGTCGCCATTTTACCGCCCAAGTCACGCACCAAGTGCGCGAGAGCGTCACGCGCTGGCGCATTCAGGGCAACAATGGATGTCTTCACCCTGAGACAAACAGACATGTAGGCACCCTAGCCACTACACCCTCTAGAACACTGTACTTTGGCTAATGCATAGACGCCATTTTATCGCCCAAGTAACGCGCCGAGTGCGCGAGAGTGACACTCGGCGCTGGCACATTCAGGGAAACAATGGATGTCTTCACCCTCAGACAGACAGACATGTAGACACCCTATGGGAAGCTAGGCTTTGTCGGTATAGAGGAGGTTATGGTACTACCTATAATCGCCTCCCTCTTCCCCTGTCACAATTGGAGAACTTGATCAAGACGTCTTGGCGTATTCACGTTGTCAAATTCATCTTCTCACTCACTCTGTTTTCATCATTCGTGCGTATGGCGATGGCACGTGCATTGCTCGCTTTGAAGATGAAAATTAGAGCCATTCTTTAAACGTCGTTGTCGCTGCTTGCATGAGTAAAGTATAAAACGCATGTAAACGATTCAGCGAGCGACGAGACAAGCGACGGCAACCCGCTACGCTGTCGCTCGGCCAATCGCGCGACGAGGCAAACCGCATGAAAACGACGGGAGCAAGCGACCAAGACGATGAGCGACGTTTTCTAGAAATCCAACAACCGAGCGACCCGACGAGCGACAGTGAGAGCTCGTCACTGCCGCCATCACTCGCCTCGTTCGTTAACTTGCTTACTTGCGGTTCAGCGTTAATAATCGTATGTGTATACCTTTCCCTGAAGGGTTCTTCAGCCCGGAACTCACCCCTTGCTGATTTTGCGGCGCTGTTGGTCCATAACCTTTTCACTTGCATGTCCCAATCATGATGAGGATGGATTGTGCGGTTTTGGGAGATCACTGTTGGATACCATTGTCTCCACTCGAGTATATCCTCCTTCTCGATTAGGAAAGACTTGCGATTCATTTTCAATGCCTCAACAGACGATAGAAGGTATTTAGACTCGAAGCACTGCGGCAGCACGTCGTCTTCTCTGGGGGCAGCGGCGACCTTCTCCAGTAATAGGACTTCGCCTCGACAGAAGTTGTGCATGCAGGTTCTCACGGACATCGGCGTGAATGCGTCGTAGCTATCCATACTCATCCGTTTAACTCCACTCTTCGGCCGCTTCTTCGATGGTGTTTTCATAACTTCGTTGTCAATTAAACAGGGGAACACGAGCGCCTGTCGCACTGGAAGTGAGATTAACAACTTCTTCTACGTCTTTTTCTCGGTACTCCATTGAGTTAAGCCTTTAGAGCGACGCTGTCGGTTCTGAGGGGGATCGGTGGATTTATACTTTCGGCTTCCGAGCACTACAGCCGCGAGCACTACAGCTGCAGAACCATGAGCTCCTTAGGAGCGTCGATAGCGGCCCTTGCCGGCCGCGGTTTATCTGCTTCTTAGCTAACTCTTGTTATTGTATCGTTCTGCCTCCACTGCCATCCGGAACCATTGAGCACAACTCTCTGCTGCTGCACGGCTACATGAGTGCCCGCCCATACAAGATAGGTGATCTCAGGGCCGAGATGGAACGTTTCGGTGTGATTGAGAACATCGAGGCTCTCGGCGCCTGTCAAATGAATCCTCTCTGGATGGTGACCTTCAAGACGGAGGAAGCCAAGCTGCGCCTGCTCGAAGACAAGGAACGGGGGTTCAAGGGCAAGGGTTGCATCGTCGTGGAGCAGGAGAACGCTAACGTCCGTATGAAGCTGAATTTGTTCCTCTTCCGCATATCGGGCGAAACCGTCAGGAAGGCCCTCGAGCCATTTGGGAAGGTCCAGGAATGGACGCGTGAAAAGTGGAAGGCTGAAGGATTCACCGGCGTCAGTCGACGACCAGGCTAGTACGGTTAAGCTTAAAGGAGTGCGTCACTCTAGAACACCTCCCTCACCAGTT